CCCCCCCCCCCCCCCCGTGAAGAATGAGTTCAGTCAAGCTTAATTCAACCTCCCCCCCGCCCCGCCCCGCCCCCCACCCCTCCTGCAGGCCATCCTCGTTCTCCTGGCCTGCCTGTGCCTGTGCTGCTGCATGTTGTGCCTCAGCAAGAAGGACTCGAGGAGGAGAAACGCGGGGGTCGTTAGGCTGGAGAAGATCGAGGAGAGCACAGCCATTAACGATGACGGAGACGACGAGGTCAGAAAACTTTCTTTCTTTCCGACCTTGGGTTCCGTGCCTCCCTCCCTCGCCAATTTTTGTGACTTGTGGTTGCTCTTTTGCGCCGCCGCTCTTTCGGAAAACGTGGCCTTGCATACCTGTGGAAAGTAGTAGCAGCGCGCTCACAAACATTCAATAATAAATTGACCTTATTTTTGTTAACATGGCTTTTTTTCTGTCCCTCTCCTCAACACTCACGACAGTTCGAGCTGCCAACCAAGCGCATGTCCGAGATCAAGGAACAGCGGAGGGGCAGCAGCTTCATGAACAGGATCCCCTTCTTCGGATCGTCCGCTAAAATGAAGGCGGGGGAGACCGACATCGAGGGTGAGCTTTATTTTTTTTGTGTTTTTTCAATGCTGGCATCGAGGACTAGTTGTTTGGCGATTGCTCTTTCTAGGGTTCCAACTGGCGTGCCGATGCTAATGTTCGGTCTTGCGAGAGAGGAAGAGAGAGAGAGAGAGAGAGAGAGAGAGAGCGTCACGTGTCCTTTGTGTGGTGACGGAATACATGAGGCGGAAGTACGATGCGAAAGGCGCAAGTGCGTTTGTTGGTTTACTCTCCCAGACAGTCATGACGACAACAGACAACAACGATCTCGACGCTCACGCACACAGTACGCCCCACCCCGCCGTATTTCTCCCCACAGCCGGTACAACCAGGAGGGTGGCAGAGGACCACATCTTCGCGTACCCCCCGCACTCCAGCGGCGGCGACAGCGGCAAGACCCAAGACGCGGCTGACGCCAGCTTCCCGGCCCCGCTCGGCGCGCCGTCCGGCAACGACTTCTTCTACGCGACGCAGCGCTTTGCCGATCCGCAGGTTAACTCCCCTTCCCCTCGCACCTCGACCGGCGCTTTGGCCACTGGCGCCGCAGCGGCGACGGCAGCGACGGCGGCGACGGTAGCAGATCGCCGCCGCCCCGCCACCGCCGCCGCCGCCCCCGCCCATGCCGGAGAGGTGTCCGAGCAATGGCCGTTGCCCATCAGCACTACGACCGTCGGCGCCGGCGGCGCGTCCGGCGACAGCGGGCTGTCGTCGTCTACCATCTCCGCCGTCTCCGCGGGCTCCATGGAGACCAAGCACGACGTCGAGAGCGACGCGAGAGCGTCTTCGTTGTCGCCGGCTGGCCGCGCCGGCAGCAGCGGGGCAATCAACAGCGGGGACGCAGCTGGTGCTACTACTGCCACTGCCGCCGCGGCGGGTGTGACCGCGGCAGGGGTGTTGGGAGCAGGAGCGGCGGCAGGGGCGGCGGCGGCAACGGAGCAGAAGCGCGACGATGTATCCCTCGAGGATATCGAGGTAAGATACATGCACGGATTTTTTTTTTGTATGGGTGTTTTCCCTTCCTTCGGCCGCTGAGCCCGGTAGTGCGTCGTCATCGTTTGTGGTTGTTTGTGTATAGCGTCTACTGCTATATACCGTTCACTCAGTCGTACGATCAGTGCCATGGGTCAATTGAGTAAAACATGACCCTTCAACCCCACTTCAACCCCGACCCGCTCAAACATCTGATGCTTTGTGGGAGGGGTCTAGTAGTGCCGTGCGACCTTCGTTGTACCATTTTCTAACGCTTTTCCTTCCCTCCGACCGCCGTCGCAACTCTCTCCTTCCCTCCGACCGCCGTCGCAACTCTCTCCTTGCCAACTTTTACAGCAAGAACACGCGGAGTTTGGCGCTCTCCAACGAGAGCACGAGGCTGAGAACAAGGAGATCTCCGCCCGCGGGCGGATGGCCCTCGCCGACTTCCTCCTGGGCACCTCGGACATGACGAGCCCCACCAGCGCCTCCGGCCGCATCGGCGGCGCCCTTCCCACGGTGATGGAGGAAGGATCTCCGAGAGGTGCGTCTTTTCGTTTTTAGTTTGGTTGGCGCCTCCTAGAAGTGAAGGCGGGCGGGGCATATGTGTTGACATTACTGGCCTAGCGGTGGTGGGTATTGGGTAGGTAAGTAGTACTGTAGCAGCCCACCACTGTAGCAGCCCACAACTTGTGTTATATATCTATATATATATTTCACCACCACGTACTAACAAAAGCGCTCTCGCAACACCCCCACACCCACACGCTGCTCCATCTTCTTTTCTGTTCATTGCAGGTGCGCAAGCAGCCTTCTCTGACGCCGGCACCTCCTCGCAGGTCGCGGAGGGCAGTCAAGTCGGCAGCCAGGTCGGCAGCCAGATCTCCTCGAGCGCGGAGGGGACCGTCATCGTCCAGGTCGAGCCCGCCGCGTCCGTAGACTCGGCCCCGAGTTCGGTCGTCGGTGGGCCGACGACGACCTCTTCGGCGTCGGAATCGACCACCCCCATCGCCGGCCTCACCACCGAAGCCAGGCTTGGCGCAGCGGCGGCGACTGCGGCGGCGGCGGGAGCCGCAGCCGGCGCAGCGACGGCGGCCGTATTCTCTTCGAACGCACGGGCGCGCCAGAACCGGCCCATGCTCGCCACCGACCGGTCGGAGTCTTCGGGGTCGGAGCAGTCCGCGCCGTCCCCCGGAGGGCCGCTGCAGCAGCAGCAGCAGCAGCAGCAGACTATTCCTCGCCCCCCGGCCCTGTTGGCCAGCGGGAGCGGGAGCATGTCGTACAGCATGGGCAGCAGCGGCCACCCGACGTCCACCAGGAGCAGCACCACCAGCAGCCCGGGCTCCAACCTCATCGGGGTCTCCCTGATCAGCAACACCCCGAGCGCGGACTCCATCCTCGAACCGTCCCCGGAGTCGTCACCGCGCAGGCGGCGCACCTCGCCGACGCCCCCGCTGCCGCCGGTCAAGGAGGCCTCGCAGGAGTATGCGTCGTCGAGCGGCACCGCGGCCGCCGGCGCCGTGGCAGCTACTACAGCGGCAGCAGCAGCGGCGGCGGCGGCGACGGCGGAGGTCACGACAACGCCGACACGGCAGCGGCAGCAGGCAGGGGACAGCAGCGACATGGACATCGCCGAGTCGAAGGACAGCCCGTCCTCGTCCGCTGTCTCTTCTCCCGCGAGCGTCGCCGCCGCCACCGGCCTACCACCGGTCGTCGTGGCGGTGGTGAACGCCCCGGCGTACTCGCCCGTCCGGGAGCCGTCGGACTCACCGCCCCCGGCCTACTCCCCGCTCATGGGCACTCTGGGCTCTTCGCCGGAGGACGGAGCGGCAGCAGACAACACAGGGGCCGCCCGAAGTTCGAGCGGAAGCAGCCGCAGCGACGCGTCGGCTCCGACTGCGCGCCGCCTCGTCCTGGGCGGCGGAGAGAGCATGATATCCGAAGCGATGTCGGAGGCCGGCGGGGCTTCCCGGCACACCGCCGGCGCGGCGGCGGTGGCGGCGGCGGCGGGCTTGGGCTCCGACGGGGGCGATTCTTCCGTCGATTTCTCTTCCTCGGCGCCTGTTGAGCTCAAGACACCTTCTTCGGCGACGGGATATGCCGCGGCGGCCGGCGACGGCGATCGACCGGTGCCTTCGGCTTCGCTCGCGGTGACACCGTCTTCGGTGGGACTTCAGCGGCTTCAGCAGCAGCAGCAGCAGCAGCAGCAGCACAAGCGCACCGGCAGCGAGGGGAGCATCCAGAGCCTGATCCTCCAGGGTCCCTCCGTGTGGGACCTCGGGGGCGGCGGCGGCGGCGACGCGGACGTGGAAGATGTGTCGATGCAGGACACGTACTCCCCGCCGTCCTCCCCTGGCGCCATCTCCACGCGCACGGCCAGTACCATGGCCAGCGCGGTCAGCGGGGGCGGGGCCAGCTCGTCCTCGTCGGCGTCCATGTCCGCGGCGTCTTCGGCCGCCGCCGCCGCCGCGGCCGCGGCGGGAGCGGCTTCCCTCGCCGCCTCCGCGGCACGCACGGCGGCGGACCAAGCGCGGACCGGCATCTGGGGGCGGCGGGAGCAGGAGGACGCCGAGCTGCAGAGGCGGCGGCAGCCCAGGTCCGCCATGGCCCGTTCCGCGGCGGCGGCCGGGGCGGCGGCNCGGGGCGGCGGCGGCGGCCGCCGCCGCGGCCTCCGTGGAGGCCAAGGGCCAACAGAACCCGGAGGCCAAGGGCCAGCAGAGGGCGGAGGCGAAGAGCTCGCTACGTGTGCGCGACCCGGGGATGCTCCGCATGGCCTCGTCCGTGTCCACCGAGGCGCCCAGCTCCAAGTCCATCTCCGTCGTGGCGCCGTCCCCGGACGGGAGCGGGGCGTACCTGTTCAGCCGCGGAGAGAGCAGGGCGTTCGGCTCTCGCCGGCAGCAGTCTTCCAGCCTCAGCAGCTACCCGAGCTTCGGCCTCAGCAGCAGCGGCGTCGAGAGCAGCGTCGAGGCGGGCGAGACAGGGGACGGCGGCGGCGCCGGCATGTTCTTCGGCGGGCAGCACTCGGGCAGGAGCAGCGCGTTCAGCGACAACGCGAGCAGCGGCAATGTGTCCTCCCTCAGCCCGCCGGAAGACCACCTGGACGAAGATTCGGTGGACGCGGCGACGGCGGCGGCAGCGGTCGCGGCCGTGACGGCTGCTTCGGCGGCGGCGGCGGCGACGCCGTCGAGCGTGCCGTCGCAGGTCGGCAGCAGCGGCGGGCACTCCGTCTCCACGGACACCGGGGGGTCGTACTCGGCGACGACGGACTCGCCGGCGTCGAGGGCGGCGACGGTGGCCACGCCAAGGGCTCAGGAGGTACCGCCGGCGGCGGCGATCTCCACCATCGCGGCCGAGCAGCCGTTCTTCCACCAGGCGCCCTCGAACACCACCGGCCAGGCGGCGCCGAGCGTCCCCTCCTCGGCCCCCGGCGGCGGCAACCTCTTCGCTCTCCAGCCGAACGTTGTGGAGCACCAGCGGCGCGCGCGGTCGAGCCGTACGACCGCCGGCGGCGTCGTCGGAGCCGCGGGAGCGGGGACGGTAGCAGTGGGCCAACAGCAGCAGCAGCAGCAACGCCGCTCGTCGTCGCGCAGGCAGCCCTCGACGGGGTCGGTGACGAGGTCGTCCGGGGCGGGAACCCTCGGCGCCTACGTCGACAGGGCCGACAAGGAGACGGAGGAGGAAGGCGAGCTCGAGGTGAAGCCCAGGGGGACCACGATGGCGACGGCGACGGCGACTTCCGCGTCGTCGAACGACGGGGACGCGAAGAGCACCACCACCAGCGGCAGCGGCGGCGGGTTCGGCAGCGTCCGCCGCGCCGCGGCGGCAGCGCTCGCGTCGATGGCCAGCATGGCCACGGGCAGGAGCGTGAGCGCAGGCAGCAGAACCAGCGGGGAAGTGTCTTCGACAGCAGGCAGCGCCATCGGTGGCGGCGGCGGCTCGAAGAGGCGGCTGTCTGGCGAGATCGACATGCCGACCGGCGAGCCCGAGGCCAAGAAGATGATGGCGAAGGCGGGCGAAGGGTCGTCGTCGTCGTCGGGGGAGCGCAGCCCCGCCACCGCCGCCGCCGCCGCCGCCGCCGCCGCCGCCGCCGCCGCCTCTGCTCCGGCCGCCGCCGTGCCAGCAGCAGCGGTGGTGGCGGCGGCTCCGGCCATGGCGACAACAAGCGGCCCATCGGCGGCTGGGTCCGCATCGGCGGCGGCTGGGACGCCGGCGACCAGAGGAGGAGGTGCGGCGGCGGGAGTGTCTGGCGCTTCGCCCGCCGCGCAGAGGACGGGGTCGTCCAGCAGCTCGGGGGGTGCGAAGAGGACTTCGTCCTCCAGGACCGCTTCCTCCGCTTCGACCGTGGACTCCAAGGGGGTGCCGACCTCCTCATACTCGAGCATCGACTCCGTCGGTACCAAGATCCACGCCCCGCCGTTCCTGCACCGGATCGCGCCCATGGAGGGGGGAGAGGTCGCGCGGCTCGACGGCAGCGACGAGGACAGCTCCTGATGATCTGGCTCCGGATGATGACGACGACGATTTAAGGATGATCAAATGTTTTCGTTTGTGTGTTTTGAAGCAAGGAGAGGAAAAGGCGGGGGTGAGTGAGGGTTGCAGGCTTGTCTGCCGCAACTGAATGGAGGTGGTGTGTTTTGTGTTTGCCTAATATATACGAGATATGCGAGGTTTATGTTATCTCTTGAGCTTGAATGTTGTGTTGAGTTGGTTGGGAATGGGGATGCATATGCCGGTATTCATGACTTTTTTTTTTGGGGGGGGGGGACAGGCGGCGGGTGGTACATACAGAGTTCCCTTCGAGAACAGGTTTGTTTGAAAAGTTTAATTTGTGTGTGGTGGCAGAGGCATGGTGGAGCCTTTGCTGATCGTGAACGAACACGGTACGGTAGGTGCCTCGGCGGTAAAGATGATTTGGTTCGTTCTCGTCAATGTGTTTCTCTTAGGCGTGTACGTGCGTAAGTTTTTTTCGCAGTGTGAACTTCACACTACAAAAAATGCAGGATATAATGTGATGTATATGTCAGTATGTCAGCGGTGTCTCTCTTGGGGGGCGCACGTGTATGTTTGATGCCTTGGTTTTCACTGCATCTATCAGCACGCATACAACACATACGATCAGACTTGTACAGAAAAAGGTAGGGACGTTGTGACGATGACGACACGATTGATGACAACGCACTTCCTTTGAAAGGAAATGCAACAATGACGACTCTTTTATTTTTTTTCCCGCCAGCCGTTTATGGTGGGAAATTTTAGTTTCGCGCCTTTCGCGCCTTGCATGAGCAAATATGCAACCATGAAGGGGGGGAAATGCTTGAGTTAACGCAATCAATCTTCTTCTATTCGAGAAGAATATCAGATCAGTTCAGCAGTCGTCTCGCATTCGAATAGATTTATTATATATATACACCCACAGTTAATTGATGACGTGGTTGTGTCTGTTTTACACGTTATTGGGTGTTTTATTTGGGGGGGGGGAGAGGCGGCTTCATAGAAGCCAGCTTTCTTGGACTCAATAGAAGCCAGCTTTCTTGGCTTGTAGCTGTCGCTTACTACATGTAATGCACTCTTCACGTGCACTCTTAAATTAATTAAGTTCTGGTGATGTTTTTGTATGTGCACTCTTCTGTTGAGTCCGACAAAAGGTACCGAGGGTTATTTGTGTGTGATGTGCGGGGGGGGGTGTACTCATAGTCGTGCATGCCTATGAGGGGGGGGGGCGAGTTAAATTAACTGTCCTTGGGAAGGGCTGAGAGTCCTTGGGAAGGGCTGAGTGAGGCGTCTACCACTGGCTTTTATTGTCAATGGACACGACCATTAATAATGAATAATGACCAAGAAGATTATTTTTTTTCGAGTTTCTTGACATGGGTCTCAATATATGTGCCCCGCCCCATCTATTCACGTACGTACATGCACTCGCTGCATCCAGCATGCATGCGTGGATAATAATACGTGGATAATAATACCGATGTATGGATAGTGACCGCACGTTGTTGCTGTGGTGATGATGATGCGCTCAGCAACTATCAGCGAACAAACGCATTTCATTGTTTTACTTGGTCCGCCTTCTTCACAATAAACGGAATGCACGGCGTGGATGACAACAAACAAACACGAAAGACATGGATAGACTACTCTCTTGTAGTCCCATACCAGACATACATACATACATACCAGACTTGAAACGAAACTGCTCGTTTCGGTTAGTTAATTAAGTCTTTCCAAAATAAAAGCAAACGCCGGCGGTTGGTTTCGGTTGTTCTTGGGAAAGTTAGTTAGGGCTGCCAGCATCAAGAGAATCCGAGTCCTGTCTGCCTCCGACCGCGGTCGACTCTTCGCGGCAAAACCTTCGAGTGGCGTCACGTCATCCACGACCAACATTCAATCTTTCTGCCCGATTGACCTCCCTCCTTGGAGAATAACACCCACCACCACACATGGATCTCCGCCACACATGGATCTTCGATCGTCTCGTAATTTTCGCCGCAAGTTCTTTCGACCAAAATCAGAAAAAACTGCGTGCCACCGGTGGTTGGTGCCGTTCGGTACCGAGAGAGAGAAAAGGTGCCCACAATTAATTGGTTGGCCGAATTTTTGAAAGGACCGTTCCAAAGAAAGGCGAAAATTCCGTGGTCGACGGATGACGTCAACCGAGGTCGAGAAGTCACCCTTGAACATTCGCTCAAGGAATCCAAATTCGCCGTGGATGACCGAGTGAGTGACTGGTTTGATTGATGTATTTTAATACGTGCCACAACTATATCGAAACACAGAATATTTCACTCGATGACTTTTGCCACCATCAACGGCAGTGTGGTCTCTCGGCGGGCGCCGGGAATCAGTGAGGACCACACACACACCACACCGCATCAATGAAAATACTTCAGTCTTGGTGCGGTTGAAAACACAAAAAAACACTTCTTCTATCTACCATGAACTGGAACCCCGTGAGGGGGCAGCATGGGGGAGGCTAAACTATCCTTCGGATCAAAAAACAGAAACAGCAGCAACAGAAGAAAGCTGCACCCGTCTACCAAGGCTATTACCTAGTACTCGAGTTCGTTTAGGAGTACTTTCACCAGTATCCTCCTTGTTTTCGCTACCATCATTCTGATCCTCATTTTGACAAGAAGAATCTCTGGGCAGTTCTTCCCTAGCCCTACGTTTCTTGTTGTGGGGAAGGTCATGTGGCTCAAACCCTTTGCTCTCTTCCACTCCTCCATGTTTTTCTGCTCCATCGTCGTCATCCTCCTTTCTCCCCTTTCCCTTTCCTTCGTCTTCGTCACTCCCAAAAGAATTACCCTCACCACTATCGTTGTCGCAGAGATCCCAACCGATTGGCCCTGGTGGAAGTTGGTCGATCAGTAGCCCATGACGTTTGAACACATCGCGAGTTCGCATCGACAGAAAACGAGCTAGCTCGAAGGTAAACCGTCTCCGAATCTTGTTATTAATAGTATGAAAGGCTTTCAGGCGAACAAAAGCTCTTTCGTCTTCAAAATTCCCCCGGCAAAAAGCTTCGTGCGCCAAGAAAAATACCACACCGCATCAAGCAGCGATTGTGGTTGTGGAAGGAATACCTAGTACGGTCGACAATGAATCGTCCATCCTCTTGTGATCTTATCGCACCCACACGAAAACAGATCGATGTCGCCAACACCACCCACTGACTGGGGTTGTGCCCTCGGGCGAAGAGCCAATAGAAAAAGGATAGAGTAAATGTGCCAATTAAAGACCACTTAAGCCCCCCCCCACGTCGAAGAAAGTCGCAAGCAAGGCGCAGGAGAACTTTGGACAAATTGGGGAACATGTCCAGAGGTTCAGTAGGAAGGGAGAAGTTGTCATGGTGGGTGATTTCAACTCCAGAGTAGGGAAAGCTTCCAGTAGAGGACAGGCGATCGGGCAGCACGGAGAAGACAAAGTGAATGACAACGGAGTGAGGATGCTTGAATTCTTGGGAAGCAACGAACTGATGGTGTTGAACGGTAGGAGGGAATGCGATAAGCCGGAGTTCACAAGGCAACGGGCAGTTTGCAATGAATACTCAATCCTCGACTACATCCTGGTAGACAGGGGGAGCACGCAGATCCCAGAGCTGCACATAAGTGCGACAGATATAGGTTCGACCGACCACTTCCTCATATGGGCAAACAT